AAAAGATCATCTTCGAAGTCATCTTTTACACTCTCTTTATTCTTGACACCTCTCTTTCTATGGGCTACGGAACTGACCCACCAAAAGGATTCGACATTTGGTAGCACAAGAACAGTTTATGACTGACCCCAGATACCCAAGACATCTTCAAGAAAAAGCCTCATATCTAGGATTTCGACCCGAACAAGTAGAAGCAACATCAAGATAGGAACTCACCTTCGATCCCCCAACCCAAAAAATGACCCCCGATGAACAAGTTTAGATTTTGAAGGCTATCCAGAAGCTCTTAGACAAGGACACCTCTGCCCTGACTTTTTGCGCACACATACGTGAACCAGACACGTATCACAGTGACCGCAGCCTGGATGCTGCATTGAACTAGCTTTCGGAAGTGGAACACTATTTGACGATGGCTAAATTTGACGATGGCCAAATTGGATGACTACGAATGGGTTGCATATGCAGTGACTCTTCTGTGGGGAGAAGCAAAAACGTGGTGGCGACAACAAGAAGCTCGTATGACGATTAACGACTAGACGGATTTCAAGAAGCGGTTGCTGGCAACTTTCAATCCCCCAAATGCACCTCAATTGGCTCGAGATTGCCTTGCGGCAGTGGCACAAAGGGGACCAGTTGAGGTTATAATAATTATGCTCTGATTTATTGGTACTAGTTGGACGAATAGCCACAATAAGTTGGTGTAACTAAAATAATTTTCATAAAATTAAATTATGTACAGGATTTTTCCTATGATTTGGCACTTGACTTTTTTCAACTTGGCGCTAAGGTTTTTTTCATTTTGGCGTTAAAGTTATTATCAATTTGGCGCATGACAAATTACAATTTTGCGTCTTAGTTATTTATTTTTGCATACTGATAATATCATAATGGCGCATAGTGAATTATTATTTGGCAGCTAACAACTTACATCTAATTCTATAATACCTCATTTAGCTACAGTCTCTTGAACCAAATTTGTGTGATGAATCCTTGCATCCTTCCGCCAAAATTTTTTTTAAGAATCACAAAGAGGTGATTTTATTGACGGCCATTGAAATTATGATGTAACAAAGTCCTTCCGCCAAAATGATAGTCCCCCAACCGCAATTAAAAAAAACTCAGACGCCAAGCCACAAAGATAACAAAGCTGAAAAATTAAAAGCGACACCTTTTTTCTCTTTCTTTCTTTTCTTTCTTTTCTTTCTTTTCTTTCTTCTTTTCTCTTTATTGCCTTTGCGGCTTTTTGTTACCTTCGCGGCTTTTTGTTGCCTACGCGGCTTATTGTTGCCTTCGCGGCTTCACTTTTTTTTATAAACAAAGAAAATGAAAAAAAAAATCCCTGAACCGCTACAAACTTTTAGTTTGTTCGTTTTTCTTCTGCCTTGCATCTTATTGATTAATTGTATGATGTCAATCTACGAATTTTCAATTTTTTTTAAAAATAACATCAAGGTGGAAACTCTAATTGAATACGGGTCACTTAATGAGGCACGCTCAGTTTATTCTAATCGGGACACTCAACCTCAGGATAGCTACATCAACATCATACCAGAATGAGGTACACAAAAAGTGACGTAACAGCCTAGTGTTATATGAATAATAAAAATGGACAAGATTTTGTGGAGATTTTAATAAAGTTATCCCTTTTACAATGATATTTACAATACATTTTCTCTTCTATAGATGATGTGAGCTGGGTTGATTATTCTATGATATGGATGAGTGATAGTAGAGTCGCGTACTTCGGATTAGAACATTATTAAGATTATATCTTGGGCTTGACCAAGATTCTCGCTTTATTACGCAAATTGTTTAATCCCTTTTTTTACCATGGAAACCTGGGGATTACCACATGGCTATAGAGTCAGTCTTTTGTGTAATCTAGGAGAAAAAGATAATGCAACAATATGGATACGAACATATCCATGGAGGTAATCCATACAAACGGTATGACAAAAAAAAAGTTCACAATTCGCTCGTAAGGTCGAGTGCAATTTTTTTTGTTCTTGTATATTGCTTTACATTTTTTTTTTAAATATATATATCATTTCGTTCAACCTTATTATATCATTATATAATCTTTTTTAACGAAAAGTATATTCAGCTAATGCATACTGATGTTTCAATTATAACACATAACGAAATTTGTGTATGGAAACAATTCTTCAAACCTAAATTCTGTTTGTGGGCAGAATAATTTTCACATCTAAACAGCTTTTTTTGTTACTGTCCAAAGGAATACTTATAAAGAGACAATGACTTTTTGGTTAATCATCACAACAACAAAAAAAAGGACCAAGCGCAAAACAAAATATCACACATACACAAAGAAAATACCCTCAATTGCATATCCTGAAAAGTTCTTCACATACAAAAAGCATACTTGTACATATCCGAAAATAAAAAAAAATTGCATTGATCTATAAACGGGATTGTTGTTCCAAAACAGTAACTGTGCGTTCCCATCGATTAATGTTTCAGCCCCTACCAAAAAGTGTTTATCTTTTGCGGCCAGGTTGGCTCGTTCCCCCTCCTTCCATGTCTCACCATCTGTGCCGAAACCATATTTATATTTTATCTAGACACACGCACACAATAGAGAAAAAGAGTTAGCAAACAGAAAAAAAGAAGTTGTGTAGTTGAGTAGCACCCTGGCATATATACTAAACCAAGGCCAAACCCAAAACGGTCTGATTTAACTCAGACGAGGCAGCGCTTGCCTATATAACTTTCGCATAATTTGTCCATTATTAAAGCATCGATGTTGATCATGCTGAAATTGTCTATAGTAACTTTTCTTTTACACTGATTAATTAATGTTGTAGTCCATTCTCCGGGTAAAAAGCATTTTCTTTTGCTACCAAGTAATAGGGTTGTAAATAATATTAATATGCGGTATACGATAACAACAATATATTATATGTGTATTTATATAGCGGTACAATATAGAAGCGGTTAAAAGACTCTTTATTTGTTAATAATAGTAACAACGTACTATACTACTTAAACTGATGCAAATAGATTTGTTCCAGTTTTGTTCGACCAACGACAAAAAAAGAACTGGTACTAATTGCTAATTATAATATAATAAAATATTCTTTTAATCTCTCATGATTCTTTTTTTATTATTGAAAGAAAAATCCAATTATACTTTTTTTTATTCTTGTTCGTCAGTTCCAATTACAATTGCGCTACAAAAAAAAAGGAAGTAAGATGATGTAAATATCAAGTTTGACTATCCCACTTACATTTTTAACATTGATATAAAACAATCTGTTACCACTGGACAGGAGAGGGTATGTCAAGGGGTTGAAAAACAGCTTGACATGTGGGTGGCAAGGACATGTCAAGATGATGTCAAGCTGTTTTTAACCCCTTGACATTTCTGTAGAAACAGCAAGTTAAGGGTCTATCAAGCTGTTTTAACAGCTTGACATATGGTATCCAAATTTAGGCGTGTATGTTACTGCATATGCATGCAAAGAGCAATGTAGTTCCCCCAGTTTCTCTACATATGGACCGGGTACTAGAGCTGTATCAAGCTGAAAGAGGTCTGCATAGCATGTTTTAGCGTGTTATAATTTGTGCATATACCAAACGAATAAAATGACCGCAGTAGGTATCAATTTTTATATAGCAGCGATGATTATGATGGTATGGTAATAAGCAACCGAATTTTATTTATTTCAATATTAGAGTAGCAAAACAAAATTATTAAGGATTCAAAGGAGTCAAAACGGGAGCAAACAATAAAAGCAAAAGCAAAGAGAGCATCTATGTATATGTGTATGTCTGTGTGAATATGCATACAATCTCTAGCTGGTGATGGGGCCGAAAATAACAAGAGTGAATCGCAACAATGCCGTGTGTGTTGATGACCCACGGTCCACTCAAAAAGTTTGTGCTGCAACTAGGTGAAAGTGAATATAGAAGTGTTACCTTTTTCTAAAAGCGCCATATGAAGTGTGGCAGCACTGACCAGCTTTCGCAGCAACACTAGGAATGACGTGAGATTGAGCGTGTATGAAGGATCCAGTTAGATGTTTGGCATGAGAGATCGTAGCAACAGTGGTAGCATTATGGGTAGAAGGCTGTAGTTCAAAGACAAAAAATGGAGTATATAGATAGAAAGAATGAAGAACTTACAAGCTTCGTCCTATGATGGCGCCGCCTACACTTTTGGACAGGAGAACAGATGATCGCGTCCTGAGCTATAAGAATACCTAAATTAAAGTGGTATTAGATAGAGCCATAAAAGTTAAAACTAGTTTGACCACAACATGAGTAAAGAGGTGCTTCATGAACCTGTACTTACGAGCCTTGAGAGAGTAGTGCGTCGCGTCAAGAAGGGAGGAAGTAAAGTGAAAAGAAAGAGAAAGAGGCGGGATAAAGAGAGAGATAGATTGATGCGGAATAAAACTAGCTGCAATACCAAAAGAAAAAGTGACCCTGATCATGCACAAAAAAGAGCACCAGACAGAACAATCCCCCACCCGATAAAAGGTTCCCCCCACATCCAAACCAATCTATTATACCAACCTCTTTCTGTCCACATACATCTTCGTACCTACTCCAAAAAAAGTGAGCGTTGACAAGACGAAGCATTACAGCTGTAGTTATGTGATGTATACTGAGATGATCTTGTATAGATGCCCACTGTATCTGAATTGCAAGCCCAACGTCAACGACGTATGGCAGTGCGTGAGGCCGATGTCGAACAGGCCAACAGTGCCTTGGATCGGCAGCAGCAGCAGCAGCAGCAGCAAAATGCGCTTTTGGATCGAGTCGTTGGTTTGGAAGCTGAGAACCAGGTGATGCGATCCGAGCTCACCACGATGGGCCGAGCAGTTGCTGGTATGGTAACTCGTGGTGCCACTACTGGTACTGATGCTACCGATGAGAGGAATGGTGGCGAGCAAGTGCAAGCTCGTGGCCGCCGTGCTCCAACTGCGTCTGTAAGTTTGTCGTGTTCTGTCAAGAGAGATTGAGACGGCTGGTGCAAAGAAATTGCTCATTAAATAATATTGCCTTCATATATAAAAGGAGTGCATATGCGCTTACAATGGACGGCTTGGAAACGCTGGCCTGAAGCTCGACCTCAGTTTCACCGATAGCCACAACAAGGAGGCTGTGAAGCGCCTTGTTGAGTATGTCCACGGTCAAGGGTGCTTTAACTTGAGCAAGGGCCATATCAGGAATATGGTCTACCACCACTTCGACCATAAGCGCACGATGTCGAGACAGTCGGCTGCAACAAAAGCCTAGAGAAAAGTGACGAAACGGCGTTACCAACGTCGATACAATGTAAGCAAAAGTAGTAGTAGAAGGGCGTCGCATAAAATAATGAAGCTTGACGATGTTGACAGAAATCGACACGGCGACTTAACGTTTTCCGACGCCATGCATTCGAGCTGGAGGAGCAGTACCCTGGCGGATTGTCATTGCTGCAGGCCGAATGTATGTCGGATGAGGAGACCGACAATGAGGGGAGCGCTGAAGGCTTGAGTAGCGTTAAGCGCGTGTCAGTCTTTGTGCCTGAATGGCGCAGTGAGAGGGTAATGATTTAGAAAGCGGGTGTTCTTTGCATACACATCTTTTGAAGAAATTGGTATAGGCAAACGTTTTCTTGGCGAGACTCGACGAGTACAGTGCGCCCACTGTTGATGCCCAGCCGAATGTGCTCGCACGAACAGCGGCTCGAAAGGCGGGCACCTTGGTCGAGAAGGTGCGCTCGCAGCTGCAAGACTGGATGCTTGCATAACTAATAAAATGGTTACCAGCTATATGCTGTGCGGGTTTGGGGTGGGCAAAAGAAGTTTATACCATATGTAACTGAATGGGGGGTGGGGGTGTGTGGGGGAGAAAGAGACTGCTTCGGAGAGGAGGAAAGAAAATTTGAAAATTGAATCGTAGCACTGCTTCTACTATTTGATTTACGCCAACATCTTTTTCGGCAATGGAATTACAACAGTTCTACCACTTGCATGCGTTTGATCATACTTTACAACTGCCACCTGCCCATATAGACGATGAACGGGCACGATGCAGTCCATGTCTTCAGCACGGAAGTGGCTACGCCACGTCTCCAGGTAACTGTCAACAAATAGCGGCTCATTGCTGCTGAAGATGCTGTACCACCTAACAAAAGCAAAAACGTGCTTTTCAAGCTGGCCGTTGACCATCAATTCGTGCCGAAAGAAGTACTGGATCTCGCATGGCCAAGCGATAGGCTCGCCTCGATCCTCTGCCTGGTACAACACCTGTGCATGTGCACCTCGACGTGATCGCGCTTCTTTACTTCTGTATAGCTGACCCATAATGCGTATGGTCTTAATTTTCTCGTATCGGTTGTTGACAAAAACTCGGCCTGCTTGCGCTTCTCTATAGTGGTCGAGTTCGGCACCATATACCGACCGGTAGAATGCGAGAAGGTACTCATACACTGGCTCAATCATGAAGCTTGTTGGCGCAGTGTCTAATGGATACGCATCTGGCGGCAATGGCTCGCTTCCAGTGGCCAGCTCTGTACTCGTCGACAGCGCAAAGAAATCGTGAGGGTCAAACGTACTATGCGCAATGTCAACACTTTGCTGAATCGGTTGTACGATGTCAAGGAAGCGATTCAAAAAGTCGAAATGGCTTGGTCTATCATCGAAGCGGGCTTCAAACGACCGGACAAAGTCGCGAGCACCTGTCTTTTGCAAGAACTTCTTCATAAATGTCATCTCGAACGAATCCTTCTGGTTGGTATTGATCTCCTTTAAATACCCATTATATCTCTCAAAACTAAATAGCCAGAAAGCGTATAAAGGTCCAAAATCCTCGATGTTACATCCAAATGCATATGTAGATGCATATTCGGCGTGACCTCTTCTGCTCCGTACAAGCGTTCCACACCACGGCAAAAGGACAGCAAAAGCGTACTGGCTTCTTCGATCTCATCCATAGTGATTGATGGTTTGACTAGCAGTCGACAGGCATTTACAAACTGCAGCCAATGTTGAAGGAGGTGGCGGGGGAGATGGTTTTGCAAAACAAATGGCGAGTACACAATACACCACGATTTCCAATCATCAGCAGTCATGAAGGAGAAGCCAGCTTCTATCTTTCGCTTCAAGGAAACGTAGTCGGGGGGGAGCACAATGCTGTCGGCCAACACCTGCATTTCTCGAAGGTCCTGCCTCGTCAAGTCGCCATTCTCGATCCATGTCTTTGTCATACGCTTTGCTGTCCCGAGGAACAGGTTATGCATCGGATCAATGATCGTACAGCGAACAGGGTCAAAGTATTCAAGGCGGTGCAATTCTGACCATCGAGTTCCGGTGTCGCGTTCGATTTCTCGGCGAGCAGCAAGTGTGTCAGCTTGCCGCCATTGTTCGGCGTCATGGCGATTGCTTTCGCGTGTCCGCAGCTCCCATTCCTCCATTTCGAATCCTGAGTAGTCGATGTCTGTTGTACCAGGAAATACGAAAAACTGGCGAGCGCATTTATGGCAAGCACAAGTGCTAGCATGGGAAGTGAACCCACCGGTTTTTCTGGCAGCAGGTATGTCACAAGCATTGAGTAGTAGGGCCAAACGTACTTGTGCTCCCTCTGGATGCTCGTTCGTTCCAACTGTTTTCCAATCATACCATTCAAGCAAATCATCGACCATTGGGCGCAAGTAGTGGTTCATGTCGGATGTGCTTGGCTCTCGCGGACCTGGCATTACTCCAATGAGTATAACATTCTCCGTTTTGTAACGCTCAGATCGAGGGAGATTATTGACGGTCAAATATAATGCACCGCATGAGTATGTCGAATTCGTGAACGGGCCGAACCAGTCAACATTGAGCGTCAACAACAGCGAACGAACCTCTGCGGCAAAGCGACGACCAGCACGATCAGCAAACTCTCGCCACATGTCGCCATCATAAACGTCGTAAAATGTATTTGCGACACGTCTGCGATCGCGCCATGTTTCGATCATCGTCTCAAATCCCGGTCGTTTGAACAGTCGCTCAATACTCGCAGATAAGGGCTGGTAAGCAAATTCTTTGATTGGCGACAATCTATTGCCCACTGATCTGAACAATGCTCGGCCACATAGGCGACTGTAACGGATATCGTTATTTGTGCATGTACGTGGGCAATCTGGCGTCAAAAGGTAAATGCTATGGCATGTCGGACATGATACATAACGTCGTAAAGAATCAATTTGGGTAGCGATGCCGGTGATACGACGCAATGTGGCAAGAGAGAGAGGAAGACGGTCAGAAGATGGAAAAGGAAGATCTTCGAGAAGGATTGCACAAAACTCAATAAGCGTGCTCGACGTTCGTTCAGAGAGGAAGTGCAACTGGAACAGAACAAGGAAAACAAGGACAAGAACGTAGGGATGAGAATACCCTGGAAGCAAGGGTGTTTGTGGATGAAGGTAAGCAGCATCTTTAGAAGGATATGAGAAACTTTGAATGAGTGAAATAAAAATGGGTTTTCCAAAAAAAAATTGCACACACCTTGTTCGTCAATGCTGGCTGTTTCTTCTTCATTCACATTGTCTGCTTCGACATCCCATTCAACATCTTCGGCATCGAGCAAACGTTCGGTGCCGCCAACACTGTCTCTGTCTTCCTCCACTCCAAAGACATTGTCCTCGTCAGAGAACGACAAACGACGACTCGCAGCAGCTATTATATACCGTTCAACCATTCAACAATAAATCATATATCCCTTCCTTGACACTATCCATCACTTATCTCAACATACCAGGAGAGGAAGAAGGAGCATCAATATCATGAATAGCTATTCATCCAACAATAAGTTATCTTACTCTCTTTCTATTATCGATCAATTATCTGAAAACATACCAAGAGAACGGGAAGTGGAAGGCTCATTCGAAACGTCATCACCAATATCCATTTCGTCAATATCCATATTATCTGATGCTTCAGATAAGGAAGGCTGTTCGCCTTCAAAAGTGGCTATGAGAGCGCTTACTGTGTTCACGAAACGTCTGGTTACTAAATAATGTCAACACTTTGAACGCTACTATGAAACAAATATACCGTTGTGCGAGATTCCTTCTCTAGCCGAATTTACAGCACGCTGAGTGTGCTGCTCTCTTTGTATACGAGTAACCTCGCGAAAACCGAAAATGCTGCTTCTGAAACATTCCGGACAAAAGCATTCGACCCTTTCTGGATTATAATCCATGATGGGAATGCAATGAGGACGAAGAACAACAAATTGGGACGATTCCATTTTTTATTTTCTTCCTTAAATTGACCCCCGCTGTTGTCCCTTACTCGCTTATGAATGGGTCTTTCCTCCTGCTACTACTGGGATCAAGAAATCCTTTTTATACTGTGTTACATATTATGTTTATACGTCCGCCGCATTGTTGCGTTGTGCTTGTGTATAAACTTCATGTAAAAAAATATATAATGCAGATACATATACGGAATACAATATCACACAAGCTTTTCTTCTGCATGAATGAAGGAGCAGTAAGATGCGTCATTTTGCATAGAATCGGGGACAGAGTTGCTGGAAGCCATTTTTATAGGGGGTGTTCACATAGGGTAAGATGAAATTGTAAAAAAAAAAGTGGGGATGTAACCCCCCAACAACTATTTTCTAAAAGCAAAGTAGCCAGAAACCATAGCATTGCTCTTAGCACTCTCATGCATTAGCGCGCTTTTCAGTTACTGTTATGGGATAACCTCGAATGCAGATCAGGTAGTTGGTGCATATCTACTAAATTTAGTCTATACAACCTGGTTAGTTTTTTCCTTGGTACCCCAATAGCTTGCCACCACATGTCAAGCTGTTTTCTAACCACTTGACATTTGGTTTTTCGTGCGGTGTACCGTGTCACTATGTTTTTTTATTTTTGCAAAGTTTCGAACTGTTTTGCCAATGAGATCGTCTTTTGTCGTTTTTCAGCATAGAATTTTTCGAGGTTAGAAAAATCGTTGGCAAGTCGTTTCAAGCTTGTAGCCACATTGTTGTGAAGATGATTAAGGGTAAGACTGTCATCATCGATATTTTCGTCTTCAGATGTATCTTCGTCGTGTTCCTTTCCGTTGCGATGTTTATGTAGTGGTACAAGCGTTGATGAAATGAATGCTGATACTGATACATCTGTTTGAATTGGAGACAAGGATGAGGGTGTCGATGGTATTTCATTTGATGAAGAAGTTAATGGTGGATGGGTTGGTGGTACTTCAGGTGTCATTGAAGAAGTTGATGGTGGGTCCGGTGGTGGTGGTATTTCATTTGATGAAGTAGAAGTTGGTAGTGGATCTGGTGGTGGTATTTCATTTGATGAAGTAGAAGTTGGTGGTGGATCTGGTGGTGGTATTTCATTTGATGATGAAGAAGTTGATAGTGGATCCGGTGGTGGTATTTCATTTGATGAAGAAGTTGTTGATGGTGGATCCGGTGGTGGTGGTATTTCATTTGATGAAGAAGAGGTTGATGGTGGATCTGGTGGTGGTGGTATTTCATTTGATGAAGAAGAAGTTGATGGTGGATCCGGTGGTGGTGGTGGTATTTCATTTGATGAAGAAGAGGTTGATGGTGGATCTGGTGGTGGTGGTATTTCATTTGATGAAGAAGAAGTTGATGGTGGATCTAGTGGTGGGGGTGGTATTTCATTTGATGAAGAAGAGGTTGATGGTGGATCTGGTGGTGGTGGTATTTCATTTGATGAAGAAGTTGTTGATGGTGGATCCGGTGGTGGTGGTATTTCATTTGATGAAGAAGAGGTTGATGGTGGATCTGGTGGTGGTGGTATTTCATTTGATGAAGAAAAAGGTGATGGTGGATCTACTGACAATGATTCTGTTGGTACTTTATACTGAACAGATTGGCCGTTTGAATATTGGGCAGGGGCAATTTTCACTTGTAAAAAACCAAACAATTGATCGCCTTGATGGGCATGGAAAAACTTGCTGGCATCTGCTTCAGATTTAAAGTGAAGGTAGGCACATCTATTTAAAAACAGACATAAGTTGCTGAACTATAGTTGTAGTACAATTTACCACTTATTACCTGTCCATTGGCTTTTTTCCAACATGTATCATGTTATGCAAATTTTGAAGACTAGAATCAAGAGTGCGATATAGATTTTGACGGCTCATATTTTTTAGTTGCTCACCAACGATCTTTACTTGAAATGAAGGGCGATAGCAGCCTTTGCACACTCTTGACATTTGAATGGTTCTTTAATAATTGTGTGAAAGAGATCGAAATCTTAGGAAGAAAAAAATTTTAGAGTCATGTAAAGTCACCAAAAATGCAGTAGCAATATTACAGCTCCCACTTGTAATTTGTCATGCGCCAAATTGATAATATAGCTCTAACGCCAAAATGAAAAAAAGCGTCGCGCCAAGTTGAAAAAAATCAAGCGCCAAATCATAAGAAAAATCCTGTATGTCTTGGTATGCATATATTTAAAAATTTTAAAAAAATAAAAATTGAATTTTTTTTATTATATAAAAATAATACTTCATAATATTAAACATGAACAACACAATCACATTCAACAATGACAAAATCGTTCTTGATACCAATAAATTAAGTATATTTTTTGATAATAATAATATAAACATTAAAGAATTTGCTGAAGAAACAATTTATGAAAAATATGATATAAATTATAATATTAAAAAGAATAAATTATTAATAAAATGTAAAGCATCAAAAAAACAAAAAGACTCATCTAAAAATAATTTAAGTAAAGCGAATAATGAAAGAGATATTATTTCTGTTAAAAAAAGTAAAGATAAAACATTAAAGGAAAATATAAAACTAAAGGAAAAATTACATAAATATAAGAATAACTATGAAAATCCCAATACATTACCTCCAAAAGAAATAGTTGCCGAAAATTCAAATTCTCAGCAATTTGAAATTCCTCATATTTCAAATACACAGACAAAAGAAACATATGCTGAAAATTCAAATTCTCAGCAATCCTCAAATCCTCATATTTCCAAAGCAATATTAGAAAACACCTCTGGTGCAGATGCCTCATAGGGTGATTCTGATAACGATGAATGTGAATCCGGTGGGAGAGAATATATGTGTATGATTGCATGTAAGCCCTGTATGGATAAATTAAATGATACTTATGATTGTAGTTTTATTGATGAACTTATTTTAAAACTTGAAAAGGAAAAATATAAGTATAAAAGGTTTTTCAATTCATACTTAAGATATTATATTGATTTAATAAAAGCAAAAGAAACAAATAGGGATGATATTATGCAAATGTGTCAAGAGCAAATGCAGAAGTTAATCATTGAATATAGTCAGATATATACATATGAAAATAAAAGTGAAGATGAATATAGTGATGATTCTGATTAAACTTGTATCAGCCATTAATGGCTATACCGTTTAGGACAGGCTTATTAACTATAACAAAATCAATAAACAACTAACAGCTAGACAAGTACTAGTAGGACACTAAACAGGGATTGTAGCACTGTAAGTCTCATAGGTCCAAGCAGCGTGGGCATCAGTACCGTCTGTATCCAATGAAGAGGCGCTCAACTGTTTCCAACATGGCCTCCATCCAACCGTACACATGCAGGTATTGACTCGTTTCCCAGCATCTACGGATGAAGCTATGAAACTAGCGCTTGCCGTTGAGGGTGCACAACAGACCAGCCAAGCAATCATGCACGAGGCGCAAGGCTACCCGGTTATACAACACCAATTTGCCCACCAACCACAGCTCGTGCCTGAATACCTCCACTCGTCAGGTGTGGCGCCTATGGACTTGGATGCCATCTGCTCAAGAGGACTAGAACAGTGGCGTGGATCTGGTCGCGGTGGATCCAACTGGAGACAGTAAATGCCACAACGTAGCAATGATGCTGAGAAAGATTGTTACAATTGTGGCGGCTGGGGTCATGTGTCTTGCAACTGCCCATCTCCTCGCTGCAATCGCCAACAGCAGGGTCGTTATACAGGCCAGGGAAAAGGCTAAGTGCGTCGGGATTAAAGAAGTCCCTACGCGCCTATTTCCATCCCTTAACATTGTCTGAACGGAGCCCATGGATGTTCCTGAGGCCGACCTGATCGATCTTTCTGAGGGCCGTGGTACGGATGCACAGTTGCTCCAGTGCACACTGCAGGAAGATAGCTAATATTTCAATTCTTTGCTGTCAATAAAAGAAACTGATTTACCCCTGTACTCAATGGTGTGCAATGGTCGTGCTGTGGAAGTACTGATTGATTCTGGTGTTACTGGTTCGTATGTGGCGCCAAGAGTCGCTGCTGGTCTGCCCACTCATTTGGTGTCGGGTCGTGAGGTCGAAACTGCCGGTGGTCATGTGCTGTCAATATCAAGTCAAGCAACACTGTCGTTGAACGCCCAAGGTTACAAACATTAGGCAGACACTTATGTTCTCGACACGAAGTTTGATGTTATCCTATGCTAGAATTAGCTCAACACCGTTCAGCCAGTACCAGATTGGGACCAAGACACATGGAAAATTAGTAAAGGTGCTCACACTTATGTCCTCCACCCTCGTCACACCTGTCAAGTCCCTGAGCTCTCGTACCTGATCTCCCACTGCCAAGTCCAACGTCTGGAACGTAGCAAGGAATTGACGATGTCTTCATTTGCTACGTCCGTAGCGACCATGTTGAAGGCCAGCTGACAGCCAACGATCCATTCAAAATGCTGCTGGTAGGCAAATTTCGTGACGTATTCTGTGAGCAACTGCCCGGGTTGCCTCCAGACCGCGGTGTACAGCACGTCATTGACACTGGTGACGCCGAACCTGTATCTCGACCACCATACAAAATGAGTCCGCTCGAGTTGGATGAATCGTGAAGGCAATTGAAGGAGCTGCTCGACTTGCGACTCATTCGGCCCAGCTCTTTACCCTGGGGCGCACCAGTCTTGTTTATGTGCAAGAAGGATGGTTCCATGCGCATGTGCGTCGATTACCGTGCCGTCAACCGCCTGACTCGTCGTAACACGCACCCGTTACCACGCATTGATGAGTGTCTCGAACGCTTAGCCAATGCTTGCCGTTTCACAAGTATCGATCTGAAAAGCGGCTACCACCAGGTGCGCATCCGCTCTGAGGATGAGGACAAGACAGCCTTCAGCACCCAGTATGGCCAGTTCTGCAGGAAAGTTTTCCAGTTCGGCCTTTGCAACTCGCCACCAGTTTTTCAAGCCATGATGAATGAAGCACTCAGCGATTGTCTCGATACATGTTGTCTTGTGTACTTGGATGATCTCCCCATTTTCAGTAAGAGCGACGACGAGAAAGCACATCTACAGGACGTACGGCGTGTGCTTCATAAGTTGCAACAAGCGAAGTTGGTGGCCAACCTGAAAAAGTGCAAATTCAACAAGACTGAACTGGAATTCGTGGGTTATCAAGTGTCTGCTCAAGGAATATGTCCGTCAAAGAAAAAGGTGCAGGCGATTCAAGACTGGCTGGTGCCAACCAATGTTCAAGAAATTCGGCAGTTTGTCAGTTTGGCATCACATTATCGTTGCTTCATTCGTGGGTTCAGCGCCATGGCAGCAGCATTGACCGATTTAACAAAAGGAACAGGAGCTAAGAAAAGGGCGATTGCGTGGACTCCTGAGTGCCAGGAGGCTTTTGACCTCATCAAAGCCCGCGTGTGTGACGCGCCCATCTTGATGCCTCCAAATCCGGACAAGCCATATATCATCGAAACGGATGCCTCTGACTTTGGTGTTGGTGCCGTGTTGCTACAAGAAGGATCCGATGGTCTCCTCCATCCTCTGGCATTCAAATCCAAAGAAGCTTTCTTCGGTAGAGCGTTAGTATCTGGCCCAAGAACGTGAGATAGTGAGCATCCTCTATGCCTTGCGGACTTGGCGTTCTTTTTATTGAGGGCCGTTGATACACTGTGTATTCCGATCGTATCCACTCAAGTACTTCCGGTCCAAGCTTAAACCCACGCCATACCTGAGTCAATCGATTGCTGAGATGGAAGTATACGACCTAGATATCTAGTACAAGCCCGGCAAAGACAACCATGTTCCGGATCTGCTCTCCAGACGAGATGGCCCTGCATGTGTCACCAAAGAACCAAGTTTGGAACCCGAGTTTTTCTATGCAGTCAAGGCGGTACAGGAATCTGACTGGCCAAAATTCTATGCTGTTTCCGAAGACAAGCAGCCACCTATGTACAAGGATCTACTGGATAAACATGAGGACAAGTTTGTAACATAGAACGGCCAGGTCTACCGCAAGGTCAAGGTCGGTGAATCTGTCCAAGAAGTGCGCTATGTACTTTTTGCTCGCCGTACCGACTTGGTTGAACAGTTTCACAAATCGTTTGGGCATGCGGGGAAAACAACGGTGTACGACTTGATGCGGAAACGATGGTGGTGGCCGGATATGCGTGCCGATATTCAAGAATGGTTAGCTTCTTGTCAACAATGCCAACTTGCTGCTAATGCCGACCGAAATGTCCATCATGCACCGATGAAGCCACTGGAAGTCCCACCTGTTTTTTCCCACTGGCATTTGGATTTTGTGGGTGAGTTACCTACCACTATCAATGGCAATCGCTGGCTGCTCGTTGCTGTTGATTATGCCACGAACTGGACCATCGCTCGCGCCGTACCTGATGCCACCGGTGAAGCCATTGCCAACTTCATCTATGAAGAAATCGTGTAGCCTTTCTCATGTCCAGTGCAAATCCTGACGGATCGCGGTGCCAACTTCATGTCCAAGGTGCTCAACCATTATTTGGGTCGTCTCAAGGTCAAGCACATCTTCACCTCAGCCTTCCATCCCCAAACAAATTCCAAGGCTGAACGAACAAATGGCATCCTTAAACAAATGCTACGCAAGTACACCCATAATCAGATCTACCGCTGGGACCAGTTTGTCCAACCAGCCGTTTTTGCTTGCCGCATTCGCAAACATCGTACTTCGGGTTTCTCTCCCTACTTTCTGATGTATGGCGTTGAGCCACGACTGCCTGGTGAACACCTGCCTCCGTTTCTTCTGCTTCCCAAATCTGAACAAGAGGATTCACCTGTCGTTTGTGGTCGCGTTCCAGAGGTCCGTCGCTTACGAGCGCACTTGCTCGCTGAAAGCCGCCTCAAGGCCAATGCTGCCAAGGACAAGGCTCGTTGGGATTCCTTACTCATACCGCAAAAGTTTTCTGTTGGTGACCATGTCTTAATGCGACATGAAAACAAGCTCAGCCTCAAATTCAATTGGAATGGTCCATATAAGGTCATTGCCATCAATCCTGATATCGATATCTACAAACTTGAAGATCTGCATGGCAATGTTTACTCGTCATGGGTCCACACTGATCGCCTCCGTCCTATCCATGTTTCGTCTCAAGTTTCGCAAGATCCATGGTACGACCCGACTGCTACTCGAGCTACGGAACGTCGTTACCTCGATGCTGCTGGTCAGCTCGCTTTGTTGTTCGAGGACGACCAACACTTTGGAGAGGGGATATTGTTGTAGCAAGATTTGACGGTGACACACCGTTTCCTTTTTGGATTTTTCCCGCTCCCTTTTTGACGTATTTTATGGCCATTTCTTCTACCTGTTTCTGTTCCTTCATATTGTAACTCAATCATCCCTTCGCCGTTATTCTATAGCTACTTCTTCCTAATTCTTCCATTCACTCGCTAGAGCTTAATCCACTGTCCAACATTAGCTACAGCTATTCTTTCTATCTTCTTCTGTCGCGCAGCCGACCTTATATACATTATCCACTATATCTTGCATTCATCGTAGTATTCATCACTTTCGTATTACCTTGGACAAAACATATAAATACCCTTCCTCAGTATATACAATAAAGGATTATCTTCGAAGTCACCTTTTACACTCTCTTTATTCTTGACACCTCTCTTTCTATGGGCTACGGAACTGACCCGCCAAAAGGATTCGACATAGGTTGTCGAGTCGCTTTTTGGCAGGTGGATCCGTAGCCAATGAGAAAGGACAGGAGCAAAGGGTAATTAGAGAATAGAGGGTTGTTAAGAGATACTTTTTATTGCTTGTGACTACGTGGCTATTTATAATCTTTTCTCCAATAAAGTGCCTCGGCGCTTGCTATATGATACAACCATATAATACAATACAATTATGATGCTGTCAAATGCCGCTTTCTGCTCGTTGTTTGTGTACTCCTTTGTATGTTGTCAACGTATTTAATTGCGGCGGAATTCTGTTGTAAATATTTAGTGCCTGGCAAAAGTGTTGCACCGCCAAAACTAGGGGTCGCAATCTGACCCACAGGTCAAAACCAACCCGCGGGTTGAGGACGGGTCAACGGGTCGGGTTGATGCTTTTCTGACCCGCGAGTCAGCCCGTCTAACCCTTGACCCGACCCGTTGACCCGTTGTGACCCCTGTATACATATGATATCTATGAGGTACTTGTATTCAAGTAGTCAATCTTCTTGTTGGGAAGGATCATTATATTAAAGATGTAGTTGTCAATATGTCTGCTATAGAACTGTAACATAAAACGTACTTATATTCTTTTTCATTGTGGGATCATATTTTATATTCAAAAGTGTAAGATAAGTAAGCTATAAGCAATACATGTAATAGTAGTAAAGAAGTAGCAATAGTACAATGAGAATAGACAATAGAGAGTGGCAGTGAGAGACGAGATTTGACAAAAGACGTAGAAGGAATTAAGAAAAGAGATGTGAAAGAAGAAGGAAGAAATGAAAAGAAAAGGGAAAAGGGAAAAGGATTAAGGGCATTTAAAGGAAGTCGATATTTAACCACACTTTAACCATTATGCTTTCTTTAATGCATGTGAGCGCAAACGATTTCTTTTGTTATGGCACAAACCCCTTTACCTTTAAGAATAATCACACAAAACGTAGATATTGCTAGCACTGCTAGGAATTTGCGTGCCATCATCTTAGAGAGCTGTGTATACATGTAGTTTTGCACTTCCAGTGCTCAAGCTCAGGTTGATTGACACCTCCTTTGTCACCAAATCAAAATCAGTAGTGACCCGTCAACCCAAGTTATGACCCGTCCAATTGCGACCCCTAGCCAAAACAGAATAATTAAAGGCCGGTCATTATTACTACGACAAGGTGTTAAGTCACTTTTTGGTGGGTGGATCCGTAGCCAATGAGAAAGGATAATCAGAGGATAGAGGGTTGTTAAAAGATACTTTTTATTGCTAGTTATTGTACGGTAAGAGGAGTTTTCTAAAGTAAAATGAGTGGCTATAAATCAATTATCAGTGTGAGGTTTTCCTTTTTGGGAGAATTTATCACCCTAGGTTCTCCTTTTTGAGAATCCAAGGTGATTACTACAGAGCGTGGCGTTCTGACCCACGACAATGCTACATATAGTAGACCATGCATAAAAACAGGTTTTGGTAGATAAAGGCCGATCATGTCAAATGTTTGTCCTTGAGCCTTGTTGATCTTCATTGAAAATGCAAGCCGTATAGGGAACTGTGTCGATGGGAGCGCGGGACAGGGCTACGTACAGTAAACTTGGGCTGAAGAAGTTGCCGGTGAAAATGGAAATTTTGTTAAGTGTGATACCTTGAACTTTGTGAATTGTCAGAGCGTATCCTAGAGTCAGAGGGAATTGAGTACGCGAGTATGGTATGTCGTCTACGTCACATTTGACTCTAGTGACAGCGTAACGGTTGCTTGGATCGTCTGTGGCGGAGATGTGTATGACATCGTCTTCAAATGCTACAACACTGCAAAGCTGGCCATTGACCCAGCCATTTTCTATGTCCAAATTCTGGATGAGCATCACCGAGCAACCTATCTTTAAGTCAAGAGTCTATGCGATAGACAAATTGTTAGTTACTAATTGCAATGTGGAAAATTGTTCCGAAAAACAAAACCTTTTGTAGTTGCGTTTCAGTTAGTGCGCTTTTAGCTGACTCGGGGTCTCCACCAGTGTGGTCAATGCTGTGGTACGTTTGTTTCAGGGCGTTGAGCTGGGAAAGGCGCAGTGTGTTAAATTGACGGGCGGCAGCCCTTCGCGGTGTCAGAACAACAGTGTCAGATGGAATGTCGCTGTCGTGGTGTATCAGCCTGGATGCAAGAAGCGGAATGCAGGCTTGGTCGTTGTGCACTTGGTCAAATCTTACTGCTTGGAGAACTTGCATGAGTGCCAGGTCAGTTGAGCGTTGGGGGTGGTACACTAATTCTGTTTGGATGTCCTTGAAAATTGCGCCGTCTAGGACAGGGAGACAGGAATTGCTAAATGGCAGTAGCTGTGCGAAATCGCCAAAAAAAAGCTACAGGGTATCTACCCCACTTTGAGCCATTCTGGGAAACCTGTCTGAGTGTCTCATCCATGGTATCCAGTAATTCAGCGGATATCATGGATACCTCGTCTATAAGGAATACTACCCGGTCGTTCAATTGCAGATACTGCTCAACGTGACGGTATTGTGGGAGCTGTTCTTTGTTCGCCATGCCAAAAAAGCGATAGATTGTTTGTCCTTTAATGTTCCACGCTGCGACACCGGTGTAAGTGACTTTTACAACCTGTGGTGTGACGTGAAATGGGAGTGGTCAGGATTGTGTCTGATCGTTTTTTTTTGATCTGCAGTTGTCAAAACAGTACCTTGTACCCAAGATTTTGAAAGTGAAGGTCCATGGTGTCGAGAACAAAGGACTTTCCATGGCCTGCGCTTCCGTGGATAAGCACGGGTGTCCTTGCTTCCATTGCGGCCAAGGCGTTTGAGTGTGCTGTGTACTGCGAAGGAGAGAACATGTCCAAGCGGCGCAAAACTTCATGGTCAGCGTCTGTTGCCGACGTGTCTGTTCGCAGTGCAGAGACGTCCCAATCCATTGTTGCCACATTAGTTTGCAGTTCTCTAATTTCGGCATTGTTTGCGATGCCTTCTATTTCATTTAAGGCCTGCTCTGTTTCACGGTCCAGTGCAGTTCGCCCTTCTTGCGTTAGATACATCGCTTGAAGGCGGTTAGCACATATGAGCTGGTGGAAGCATTAGAAAAGGCATGAATAGACTTACCTCGGTATGTGCCCCATCTGAGAATGTTAGCTACTTCTGCTATGCGACAGAAAGGGGCTCTTAGCAGAATTTGCTGGTAATAATAGGCCTCACCCGAAGATGGGCTGAGAAAACGAGTTCTCTACAGCGCACTGTCTTTAACCCGACGGATCCACTTCGAATTGTCAAGACTGCGCAGTACTCTTCCAGTGTTGCTTCTTGTATAAACTTTGTAGTACTGGGTGAAGAACTGTGGTATTGTCAAAACTTCGACCTCGGGCTCGAGTGGTCTAGCCATGTACATTTCTTTGGCAAGTGTGAGTGAGAAAGTTGGCGATGCACTGATTAGAAGATGACTTACCTAAGTGTGTCTTGTAGACTACACTTTCGCCGGCTCCGTCTCCTTGACCGTTTGCTTCGGACATGTGTTGGCGTCGACGGATCGTGCGATACTCTTCACCTGGAAGGCTTGTGGAGATGTATACGACAGCCTTGCTGCTCTGCTCTTTGTGAAAGCTGCAGACGTCAAACACAGCCTCGACGATACCGAGATTTCGACCTCGAAAATGTCGTTGAGCAGCTGTGAGGTCGTCAGCATTGCTCTCGTCAACGATAGCAAAATCTGCAGCGCTGTCGTTTTTGCTCAAATATCTGCACAAGTAGCGAAGTGTATTTGGCCCTTTGTTTAGCTGGATGTCCATGTTGCATTGGGACCAAGCTAGCAGTGTCGGGTTGTAGGGGTTAATGTGTGCATATTCGGCTGGTCTCTTGTATTAGACGCGACCGTTTTCGTATTTTGTCTCGTCACAAGGTGGGAAAGTAAACCTGAAGCGGCACTTTGATGACGAGTTTGGCTTGCAGTAGGAGGTGCAGCTATGGACTTGGTGCCGGAGAATGAGACGTCTCAATTCACAGTTCCCCCTTGGTACATGAGTACAGACAACGTTGGGGTCTCGGGCCAGTTCTTCAAAAGTTTTTCTGGTCCAAAGCACACAGTGAATGTGCGGCGATCCGCGAGCTTGCAATTCTAGGACCCAAAAATGGTCAGTAATGCCTCCTACGCATTGGCCGAAGGTACGCTTGATGCGAATCTAAAGTTCGCTCCACATGTGTCTGAAATGGTTTGCAAACAGAACCGGATCAGTCCACGGTTTGTCACTGCCGACAGCTTCAAGTATTTCGGGCACGAAGTCGTTGCAGGTGAAAGTCAAGAAAATTTGTGGCTCGTTCAGGGCATGGAACATTGCCATCAAATTCAGAAAGCGTTTGCGCTTGTAGCCAAAGCTTGATCTGATTGTGTGGGGGATGCCGATTGTGATATCTTCGCGGATGTGTCTCTCACCGGTTTCGGAATTTTGACTGTAAATGTTGTTCACATTGACTGTGGGTAAGTGAGAAGCATGCATGACTCGGTGGCTGTATTCCGAGATAGCGATTTTTTCGAGCATGTCTGCGGCAAAGAAAATGAAAGCTGGACTTTGTCCAAACCGTCGGTCACGAGGGTTCAACAAGAGCAACTTCTAGTGGTCTTTTAAAGAAATGCGTTCTCGCTCAGAGTATTTGGGCTGTCCTGTTCGGTCTGGAAAGAGCCAAGGGAACAGAAGCATAAACAAGCGATCATCGGTAAACTTGATTCTTGAATGACCGGACGCATTAACCGAGAGTTTTTCGAAACGATCGACGTAATCTGTAGATGTCGGTCTAATGTCGTTTACCGGCATGATCATGTTTTCGTCCCAGCCGATTGTTTGCATTTTCTTTGTGTGGTTTTTCACAAAGTATCGAACGAGTTCATGATTCAAAACGGGATCGTCGAATTCGCTGAGGATGGGTTTTTGTGCCTTTGTTTCATTCCACGCACGTTGCACGGTGGCCACATTGATCGCTGTTGTTTCCTGTTAGTAAATGTGATATTTGAAAAAACGTTCACTTGACTGTGTACGTACAAGTAGTGTTTTCCTCACTGTACATCACTCCGAGTGTACTGTCGAAGCGCATGCCAGCAAAGTCGTAATTGTAATCTAGGCTTAGCCCTCCTGCTAGATTGTAGTGACCCATTATGGACCCGTTTCTAGAACCCAGTCTAGTAATCTCAGATAGCATTCTGATCGGTGAGATGCAAGCTAGCTCGCGCCAGTTCAAGTTTTTTGTGCACTCGAGAACAGGACTTAGGAGTTCTGGCATGTATGCAACGAGATCGTCGTCGCCTTTAGTGTGGGACTTGCATATGGCGACTTTGAACTCGTCTGTAACGATTGGCGGAATATCCCACTTCACACAAGGGTAATCTTGCAACTGGATGTCTTCGTTTGTGCAGAGGTACTTTTCTTTGGGGTATAGTACACAACAGCAGAAGGCGCAGTATAGACTAGGTTTGGAGGCGTAGTACTTGCGATAGCTACAGATACTGCTTTCGTTCCAAAGCATTGGCTCGCCTTTAGGGAATGTCGGTTGCTGGTGGTTTGGTGGCATCAAGAAACTGGTGTTGATAGTAGCAGATAGAGAACGAATTGAAGTAAAAGTGCTCCGAGGTCTGTGTGTGTTGTTTTGTATTTAATGGCTTGTCGTCACTGCGTTCAAAGTTAATGCTTGTGGAACGATGTGAATTCCGTGAAGGAGCAGGTGACGTGGAACAAATTTGGAATTGACTTTTTCTTCATTTATTATTCAAAAATTTACGATGCTAGAAGACGTGATTGAGCGTGGTGTGCACGTTCTGTTTGTTGGGATTAATCCAGACCCACACAGTTTTTTGGTCGGGAAGTTCTATGCCGGGAGGTCGAACCACTTTTGGTTTTGCCTCAACTCTACAGGTATTTCAATTGATAGTTTTTGCTGATTTTTTCTGTAAAAGAGATGTACTGAAGCAGTAGAGTAGATTTGGTGTGGACTCACGTCGGCCCATCAGACAGTGCGCGAATGGCCAAAGATTTTGGAGTTGGATTCACAAACCTGTGTTCGCGACCGACACACACTGCTGCTGAATTGACTGCAGAAGAGAAGGAGACAGGTGCAAGGCTGCTGAAAAGAAAGATACGCTATTACCGACCGTCGGTTGTGTGTTTTCTCAGTATTGACGCATACAAAGTATTCAGTGGCGCGAAAGACTTCTCTCTCGGATTGCAGCCTGACCCTATCTACAAGTGGTCGGATAGACAGTTTGACTTTACTGTTGCATTTGTTACACCCAATTCCAGCGCTAAGGTTGTGGCGTATCAGTGAAAGGATAAGGTTGAGCTGTTCAAAGAGCTAGACAAAGTGGTGTGGGAGTTGAGATGTGCAACATACAGACATTAGTGGTAGAGAGCGTGAGTGACAATAAAACTTCACTCTTTTTCTAAGTAAGTATGATGCGAGGCAATAGGACTGTTTCGCCAACATATGTACCTGTGGCGATTTCAGCTTCAATGACATTGCGGCGAAAAGATATGATGATTAAACGCATTCTATTGTAAAGGCCTTGAGCAGTATTCAGGTTTTGTAAGAGCATGACAGGACAACCTGGCTCGAGAGTGAGTTTGTGTGGTGGAAGACCGGATGGAGAAAGTGAGTTCAAAAGCTCCGTTGGATATGCCAAGGACTCTTCAGGATCGACCATGCTATCTGTACTGAGAAACTCCTCAGACGTTCCAGGGAATTTTGATTCCAAGATTGTTTCATTGATTGTTACAACGTCGATATTTTTTGGTGTCAGAATAGCTCGTGACATGAGGAACTCGTGGGAGGGAGAGGTTATAAGCATATTGCCATATAAAGTGTCAATTAAGGTAAGTAGGTTGTATCCAGGCAATAGTATAGAGCCACAGACTTTGACTCTATCTTCAGTTCTAGGAGCAATTGGCTCTCTGTGTTCACCTATTCGCAATAGATATTCGGCAAACTCTCGTAATTGTTCAGAGTTGTGGGCGTCGGTGGCTTGCTATACATGCATATTGGTCTGAAGATGGAAGACTTGGGTTTGGCGCCATATATTGGATCACTTTGAACATTGTGTCACAATCTGTGCTCGAGAAGCTCTAGGAATGACTGGAAGAACCTAGACAACAATATACAATCAAAGTCAAGTTGTTTACCCCAATACCCTGCAGATTAATAGAAATGAATGATTACCTGGTGAAAATCACTGCCAAAAACAACTAATTTTCTACCAAAAGGAACATGCTCTAATGCTGGGTCATCTGATTTCATCGGATCTTGCAAACTTCGATTAACGCATTCAATGAGATCTTTGCTGATCATTAATGCTTCGTCGCATATGATCAAAGTTGCAAGTCTTAGAAGTTGTGCTGTGGCAGATCGTGGTGTAAATGAGCAGTATATGGTTTGATCAATCTCAAGCAGAATCTTAAATAATGAATGTGCTGTTCTACCGCCTTGCATGAGCAGTGCTGCGGTGCCACTGGTAGCAACTGAAAGAGCAATATCACCACGACGCCTGACATACTCAATGAGAGCATTGAGCACATATGTTTTGCCTGTGCCACTGGGTCCATCGACAAAGTAAACCTTTGATTCGGTGCGTGGACGTTCCAAACCTCTGCATACTCCATCAAATACCGCTTGCTTATTGTCATTGAATGTGAGTTCTGAGACGCGCTGGGCTTGTAGGCCTGTAGCAATGTCGCGTTGTTGATGGATGATCAGTGGCGCAGGCGGTTGTTGGTCGTTTTCCTCACGGAGAATAAAACCATAGAATTCTGTAAGGGACCGTGATGCACTTGCCATGATGGATTCAATAGCAAGTAATCCTTGTCCATATATACAGTCGTCTGGTGGCAGAGGTTGGGCTCAGATAGTATGTATGAGGCTAGGTGAGTTAATTTTTTTAATTTGGAAAAGCTTCCCAGAGCGTAAGCTCTAGGGAGCTTTTCTTGCGGGCGCTCTTTTAAGCTGCCACAGAAAATTACTTCTTTGCAGATATTTCATGGGGGTGATTTGAACATATTAATTTGACATTTATAATAAAGAGATTAAAACTATTATATAGGTGAGGGTAATGATTATTTGTGGATTTGGTTTTTTCAGTATCGTGTCTGATTATTCTTGCCATTACACCATTCTTCGCCACAGTTGCTACATGTCTTCTTATGCCGCTTTGGCAAACCAGCGGTTACATTGTTCGCAGAGCTATTGATAATATTGTTACTGCTATTACGTAGAAGTATAGTTTGCTGATGATGCTGTTGCATTCGTATTTGTGTAGGTGCATGTTGTAAAGATAGGTATAGTGGAAGCGTTAATTGCTGTTGAGAAGGATGTGTACGCTGATGCGACATAGTAGTGTTCGAAAATTGCAGCTGATGACTAAACTGCTGTGAAAATATTGTATGCTGTTGGTAAACAATAGGTTGCAGTTAATGATAGTAGCACTGTTGATATTGTTCTTGATTAAATGGTGGTGTTTAGATGTTAGTGCATATCCTGCTTGATTGAACTAAAATATTGGTTGGAGCAATTGGAGCAATTTGTCGGTAATGAGATGTATTGGAAAGTTGTTGGTTTGATGAACTGCTGGTACTGTCTGCTGAGGTATTCTGGATGCGTGGCATTTTTGATGGAACTGGCTGCTTTGGGGCAGGAGCTGATCTTTTACGATCTGGAGCATTGTTAGCAGCACCTACGTTTTCAATCACTTTTTGGTTGTTGGTGATAGTTCTAGCGACGTTATCTTGCTCTTTCCAAGTATTATAATAGCTACGTAGATGCTCCGGTGTCTGGTAGAAAATGTTACAGCCGTCAACTGTTCTTGACCAGAGCTTAGCAAAACGTTGAAAATCAATAGACTTGGTTTTATAGTCGGCGAAGTTGTCAATGAGTAGTAGGTCAAACTTCGATTTTTCGGCGGGCGTGTGGACTGGTATGATGGCGTGTGCTGCTCTTTGGTGAGATGCAATGAATGAATATTGAGCACTGTGTTTGTGTAATGTTGAGCTATTAATTATCACTAATGTAGCAACTTCCAAAGAGGAAGAGGTGTGCGTCGTGTTGTTTGCAGCTGATGTTGAATGCACGATACCATATTTATGCATCAGATCGGCAGGCAAAGGAGAACTCCCAAAAGACTCGTTTGACGAAATGAGTTGCAGTTCCCGCTCGTCTATGCCAGGTTCGTTATGAATTCCACATAAGCCAAGTGCATTCTCTAAATCATTGATATGCTGCGTGATCCAAGGACTATAATGACCGTCATGGATGCGGCCGTATCTATTAGCCATTCCAACCTATTACAAATTTCATATGCTCGGTTATTTTATGAGATAGTCACACATTCACTACTTGGGTTACATTCTTACATCAGTATTGTGTCGCAATCTGTAATCCACTAATGCAGGTTCAATGAGTTCAACGCTAGCACCAAACAATCCAAAGCTACAAATAAGATTTTGATGGATGCCACCTTCCAATGAATTTGTTCCTCTACTACAGCGATATAAAATCAAGCCTTCCTTATCCATGCCAGCAATGAAATACAAAGGAATACCTGGTGGATCGGAGAGATGACCTTGATGAATTGTCTTCAACACACTTTTTGCCTGTCTCCAGTTCTCGTAATCAAAAAGCAGCCGTCCTGTTCTTGCACATCGCAGCGGTCGATACTTTGTGAATAAGTTCTTCACAGTAGAATACAATTTTCATGGTGCTGGTACGACACCTAGAAACAATGCCATTGTTATAGCTTTTTCGTAAATGCGATGTAGACATAAACAACTTATTTGAAAATTCAATTGATAAACTTACGTCTGACTCTACGGAAAACCCAATCTGGATTCTCAGCTAGCTTCTTTCTCCATGTAGTGCCGTTTTTCTCCAGGATCTTTATTATTCAATCTTCATCCTGCTCATTTTTAATCAACGACAAAAATTGCATCACGAAATGCACGCGAGAAAACTTTAGAAAGGCCATGCTTGCGGGAAACTTTGATGAAATCCATTAGATGAAACACATCCTTCAAGATTCTAGAGCGGATTGGATTGGAACTTGCGTGTTCGCTATTGCTATTGTTCGAGACATTATTGAGCTGCGCCTGCCTGTACGATTGGCTTTGCTCATCGATTCCATCCATCATTGATGATAGATGTATATCGTCGTCGTAGGCATTGCATATATCACCATGATTCAGATCTTCATCATCGCTCAAATCTTTTAAGCTGCCATCGCTCTCAATCATTGTGATAAATATAAATATATTCAAAAGGTTTATAATGCTGGCTTAGATGTCATCTAGAGGTTTTTCGCAGATATAAAGAAAATACGTACGCTCTGCAGGAATATCCTCCTCAGCTGATATATGTATATGACCAGTTTTCTCTGGTGGATTATTTGATGCGGCCTCTTGTATCAAAACAGGTTTATATGTACGGAGCTCTGCGCGCCTGACAACCACTTTAAACGGAGTGTTACCAAAATCTCACAAACATTTGTCGTGAGCTTTGAGCATCGCACCAGGTGTTGTAATTCTTTTGATTGTGACAGCAACATACTATGACATCGCCCAATTTGTCAAACTGTTCGCATATCTCACTATAAGCAGCAGCATCATGAACATTCCCAGGGTGATACGAAATGTGGGTGCCTAATATAATATTCAAAATTAGCAGAACAAAGACGTCAGATCTCTCGCATTTTTTTTCACATCATAACCTTCAACTATATACTCGGAAATGCGTGTGCCAATAATACCATGGCTTTTCACTTCTTCGAAAATCTTAAGTGCCGCCCACGCATCAAGTGCGGCGTAGTCCACTTGATCTTGTGATAACATCTGAGCACTCCACGGTCCAGTGCATATGGTATCTTTTTTGAACAATGTATGCTCAAGCACAGATTCAAAAATCGTTGCTAATCCCATCCTTCCATCGCTAATTGCACCTTGACTTTTACAGAAACCACCAAGCTCGTAGCCACCTTTACAGGGTGTTTTGTAATCTTGGCTGATGTAATTGAGATCTTTGTTAACGTTACGTCCAATTTTTAGGATGCTCACGTTTTAAAGGAGGGTGCATAATGACGGCGGTAGCTCGGAAAGGACAGCATACAAGAACGCAGTGGCTATCTGAAATTTGTATTGTGGCGACTTTCCCGATTTATCGCTTCGTTCTTTTCTCGCTTGGCCACTCGCAGTCGAATCCTATCACCCAGTGTGCGTACACGCTTGGACAGGTCCTTGCTTAAGGAATTCGTCAATGCAATCTTCTATATCCTCGTAGTTGTAGATGCATTTGACAGTAACTTGATCCTTAGGAACGGTACAAAGTAGATATGACCAGGTTTCCATGGAATCAGATGGCTCTTTTTCAGTGACTGGAACGACATCTTGTGTAAGGGAAGGAAGTGTTCTTTTGAGAAAGCCTTGATCGCCGGTCACGTTATCTGTTAAGAACACTTGTGGTTGCTTGTAGCCATAGAGCTCGTACGCGTTACGCATCGCATCGAAAGCGTATCGTAAATGCTCGAGGGACTTCGTGGGAACCAAGAACTGCAAGCGTACTTCTTCGTATTCGTTGAGAATGGTATAGAGTGCCGCAAAAGCAGGCTGCCTATTGAGTTTGCTCGTCAACTTGATTATCTTGAAAGTATGGTCACCTTTAAGATAAACACCGTCAAGGACCTCCATCTGCTTATCCATGAAAGGGCGCAACTCGCGTATAAAAGCAGTGTAGAATACTCGTAAATACTGCGCCGAGAAAACGTGGCCAGTATATTTTGTGCGATCAGCAAATTCAGAAAATGAAATGACGCTGCTGCTGCTGCTGGAAGGTACGATGTTAGCGGCATTTAACATCATCTGTTTCACAGATGGGTGGGAGCGGCGAAAACCAATAGCTTGCAGGTACTGTAGACGCAACTTAGCATACTTCAACATATGCATCCCCCGCAGTATTTTGCTGAAGCGTTTGGGGCCTACTGAATATTGGACATATGACCTGTAAAGATCACCAACCGCCTTGAAAAGCCCATTTCGATGGGTCATATATGCAGGATACTCGCATTGCAGTATTTCTGATAGCTGACGGATGATTTCCTCATCATTGCTAATACACATTTTGTTGCAGCCTGTGCACTGATAGCGGGATCCCATTACATAGAAACAACTGGCAAGTAGTCATAAGTTCAGTGAAAAAAATTAGTTGCTATTGCATAGTAAGCTGTATAATGTGTACCTATCCAAGTCTACTACTCGACGGGCATATGGTGTTTTTGACTGCTCTTGAGCGGCTTTTCGCATCTTGTTCCATCTTCCTTTACTTTCTGGCATTTCAGTGTCTTAATCTACTTGATAAGCAAATGGGGAAACCATAAGAGCACGCGTGGATAATATAGGACAATTGGGTCGAAATCATCGCTTCGCATGGGCGCCAAATAAGGATCAGGCGGTTAGACCCAGAATGTTCACTCACGGTACTCTTTTGGCATGCTGCCATCATTCTTGATTCGCTCTTGAAGATTGAGAAGATAAGTGTCAATGACGCTATCAGATTCTTCGCCATCGTTGAGGTCATCATTGGGTATCAGCTCGCTTTCATCAACGTAACCGGCGTCTGAGGATGCTTCATCGATAGCAGAGTTGGTAGCCAAACCGTTGCTTCGTCCCAAAAGCTCATAAACAGTCGCCAGGTCTTCGACACTTTCAAGCGGTTGCTGGAGCGATAGGATTTGTTTTTCAGTTGCTGGCTCAGGTTGAGCTCGGTTGTGCTCATTTTCATCACCAGGATCTACATTTGAATTGGTAGGAGGTGACGCGATGTCGACGCGATGCTGTGCGAAATCAAGGGTGAGTTGCCTTAGTGGGTGTGCTGGCGCTGCAGTTGTTTTTTCTTGGGTCTTCCCACAGAATGACCAGGTTGGTTTTTGGTGCCTTTTGGTCTACCGGGCTTTTTATCGTTAGGAAGCATTTTGTTACTACTGACAGTTAAGGGGTGAAACAATTCTCATGCATATAGCTCGTGTATGTGTCAATTTGTAGCTCAGTAAGCGTCCACTGAGAATCAAACCAACTGAAGCCAGTGTATAGAAAGTAACCCAGAAGTGATACAACATCGTCAAAGTCTAGTTTTATTGGCAACCCAATTGTAAAAGTCCATTTTAATTGGCAAACCCAAATGTTAAAGTCCTATTTGATTGGCTTTTCCAGCCTCATACGTACTATCCGTGCCAGAGATTGGTCATTTGCTCCAACTCTTGCAGCTTGCAAAAACTCTTCCCAAAGATGTGTGTGGTAAGCTATCCATAGAGCGTATGGATCTTCAGGCTGACAGTATGTTAGGAAAACAGAAAAAAGCAGTTGTAAAGCTCTGGGAAGTTGGTACGTGGATGTCTACTCTAAGCAATCCAGCCATTCTTGTTGTCCAGTTAGCAGACCACGCCTCCTTGCAGCAGCTTGAAATGTTGGCAAGCGCTCGTTTTCAACGGTCTTGAGGTCATTAAAACTTGTTGCACCAGGAACATAGTACAACAATGATCTTAAATGATACTTTTCGACTTGGCTTGGGGAGACAGTGTACATGCGTCCGACGGTGCCACCATGACTACGTTCACGGATTTTCCAGCGACGTTCTTATTTGACAAAGATGTAATTCTCAGGAATGCAGGGTATAGTACCGCTCACCCATCCTCATTATTTTTTTCCATTCCACTCTTTCACTATGCACCTGTCCTTCTACACTAGTTATACTTATGCCAAACGTTTTTTTCTCTGTGCAATAAATATTATATTCAAGTAAAAAATGATGCCCTTTGAAGAGTCTAGATACCTGTGGCAAAAATGCACTTGCTAGAATTTTCAGTCTTCATGCTTGAACTATGGCAGTACAGCTGGTATGGCCAGCAATGCGAGTTTACCTGTTGGATGTAAAAAAAAAGAATGAGATGAAGGAAGGAATTGATCCACTGTAGATTCAGAAAGCCTTGTCACAAAATAGATTTTGAAGCTCAAAAAATAGTACTATCATCAGCTGGTTGCAGGTGATATTGCATATGATGGAATATCCTAGATTAATCTTATGCGATCAGAAAGAGCACCATGAGCGAACTGAGTAGTTTGGGTAGGTCATTGCGTTGGATGTGATATAAAAAGGTATGGATATAGAGTAGAATGGTTCAAGCTGTATATAAGTAAATAATTGAGTTATTTTGCTCAAAAATAAAGGTGTTACCTTTATACTTTTCATGACGCGTTAAGGATAATGATACTGAACGGCAGCTTCTCTTCAAATAGTGATAAGTAATACCTCGCCTGTCGTTTTATAAAAGGAAGTTTTTAGAAGTCAGCAGCATACTGAGCTGTACCACTGCTAAGTGCCCAATTTTTGCTTTTGGTGTTCTTCCTTTTAATCGTTTATGTTCATTCGTTATAAGTATAATTAGCACTGCTGAGCACGCAGCATTTAATGCTGCGAACCAAACCAAAGGCACGTCAAAATTCTCTTCTCAGCAATTTGTATGCACGTTACTACACATTTTATCCAGCAATTTTTTCCAGCAATTCCTGAAATCCCCCCACCAGTCAGCAGTTAGAACACATTTCAATACTTAAAGTCAACAATCAACCACGCACGATCGTACTATATATCTACAACTGAAATAAAACACATCTGTTATTCACATATTTTGCTATGCACTACAATAATTACGTGTTTCCTTCGATTCATACAATTATCATTATAATTTGTGTAATTCCATCCCTCTTGAAATTGCAGTTGAAGAACTTGGTTCTCAGGTCAGTCCTTGGGCCAGGTCGAGTTGGTTCTGGCAGAGAGCCATCCCGGCCTAGCTTGTGAGGACCCTTAACTATGAGAATTCATGGGTGTAGGAAAAAAGGAATATTGAATAAAGCAAGTTTGGAAAGCACAAGCATAATCGAGGCTAACATGTTGAGGGAGTCTGGTTCTTTGAAATGGTCAAAAAAAAGAGAAATGGGCTTGCTGGCAAGGCATTTTTGGTAATTGTTCCTAATAGAACAGCTGATACACTTATCCCTTTAATTTAGCAATATGTCCGTCCAGATACTAGGATTATCTCTGACTGTCATGCTCTATACATGAAGAACATTTTATTATATATAAATATAATAATTTAATAGAACAAATAATGCTTTCAAAACATGATCATTTAATAAAACAATTAATTTGCATGTCATTATACTGAGTGTTATATAATATTTTTTATATTTGAATACAATTATATATATTGAGAAATATATGAAAAATGAAAAAAAAAATTTAACCCTACCAAGATATAATGTTAAGACATATCAATTAATCACTTGATGTTTTTGTTCTGTTTTGATTCATACGACATAAACTGTCAATATTTAGCAAATATAGTTTCGTAAATAAAGCGAGTAATACATATTAAATAAAAATAAATTGAATAATACATATTAAATAAAATGGAATGTATTAATATTAAAAGTTTTGATAAAATTTATTTAAAATTAATTAACTTAATAATACTAAATTAATGTATATTATGTAATAAAAGCTTTTACATTGATCCTAAAATAGCAATCAATAATAGTACTCTATAGGATGAAAAGAAACCATATAAAATAAAACTAAAAATTAATATAGATAATAATGATTCAATTTTTTATTGTTTAATATATATTTGATAGTTTTGAAGTTGAAAAAATTATAAAATATAGAAAATTTAAAATAAGAATGAAATTTTATATTAAATAGAAAGATTATGACGAAACATACAATGACTGGGTGTGACAGGAAGATCTTAGTGATGAAAGAATTATTAATGAATATTTGGCAGCTATTGAAAGTAAATGAATTATTAAAAATGGAATTGTTTAAAGGAATATAAAATATTCTTTCATGTGGTTAAGAGAGTTTGGTTTTGATCATGTTGCTATTAATCATACAGATGGTTTTGCTACTGTGAATCAAAGTAGAGGTCATAACGATGGTAACCAATTATTCAACACTAATATGATTGAGGGTATTTTATCTTTATCTTTTATATTAAGTACTTATTTTTATTTATAGTACACTCTTTCCGGAAAGTAAATTCGCCTTGTGGCGAGAACAAAATTCAGGTTGCACAGAAAATAAATTCGCCCTGGTGGAAAATCAATTTGCCTGATGGCGATAATAAAATTCGTATTGTACAACATATAAATTCGCCTTGGCTAAAAATGATTTGTAAGACAAAAAAGCCTTGGCATTTGTTGGGTATATAAGAGCGTGCCAAGTGCTTGTCCTTGTTTTATTTCTTTTTCACAATTACATCAGAGATCATAAATAATGAACATTCAATTCTTGTTTGAAAATGGGAAAGGTTCCATCGTAGATGAGTATGGCAGACCTGAACCAATAGATTATATAGTTGATGAGGAACAGTTTCGTCTTGAAACGTGGAGCTCTCATACACAATACTTAGCTCAATTGCCTCTAGAGAGCGAGAAAGAAGTAGAGACAATGTAGACGGAGGAGAGAAAGCCTTGTAGTGATGTTATTATGAGGGAAACATCCATGAAGCGAAATTATACACGCTATTCGGATCAGGATAAAGTGAGGTTCTTCAAGCTACTGCTTGAGAGATGTATGAGTGCGGCTGCTGCTGTAAAACAACTCGGGATTCATATTCGTACAGCACAAAACTGGGCTAAACAGTACAAGAAGGATCCTGACAGTGTCTTTGAAAAATGAAAAAAGACTGGTCGTCCATGTATTCTCTATGAGGATCACAAAGCGTTATTCTCGAGTGCATTGATGGGAATCCTTCAGTCGTCTTAGACGAAGTAATGAAGAAGTTAAAGCAGATATTCACAGAATTAAAAGTATCTAAAACAACATTGTTTGATTTTGTAAAAGAACATTGCAATTTGTCTCTCAAAAAAGCTCGACTATAACCCATAGAGCGGAACAGCGAAGAAAAGATTCAAGAGCGCTTGAATTGGATTCGTAAATGGGAAAAAACAGACATGGATTTTACGAGAAACTGTGTCTTTCTTGACGAATCTGCTTTCCATATTAATTTGAAACGTAGCATGGCATGGTCAAGGAAAGGTACACCGGCAGTGGTCACAGTTCCTAAAACACGAGCAACAACAACAACCATTTTAGGTGCCATTTCTGCTGAGGGTCTAATCAAATGCAGCCTTAGACTTCCTCAGCCTCCATCCAATAAAAAGAGAAAGAGGGGAGATGGCATTGTGCATACAAGCAAAGGAACGGTTACGGGACACTATGTCAGTTTTCTGAAAACCACAATGGATGAAATGGACCAGTATCCACACATGAAAGG